TTAAACCTCACCTGAATCATATAGATGATTTTGGCGGAACCTGAAGCAAAGTCACACACACACACATTGTAGATGATTCCTATTCACATATCCTGTTTAGGCGGCAATATGAGTAACCCTCAGGAAGAAGAAAGAACACAAAGCCAAAACACTTTGCCTATCCGTTTTCCAAAAAAAAATATTTTCCGAAGACTCTTATCATGGGGCGTTTTTTGCCCAGAAAGAACGAACCATTTTATGGCATCAGTCTGGAATTCAGTTGCTTTTTTATTATTGTTGGCTTCTTTTGCCTTCTAGGCATTAACGTTGTGCCTGAATTATGAAAAACACCATATGCACTTGGGTTGGGCAAATTAACATCTCTAGTGTAGAAGGTGTATGCACCAAGCAGCCACATAAACATAAAGATTTTTTATTAGGTTTAAACCTGAGCCAACGTGGGTGGCAGTATCAGACTCAGATTACTTTACAATCTCCATTAAAACGTAAGTGCATACCGAAAAAATTACTTGTAAGGAGTGCTGGGAGTTAAAGTGCTGCATCCATATTTCTGGAAGAAAGAAAAATGTATTTTAAACGGGAATATTTGAAACAAAATGTGTTGTTCATAATCGGCGTCCTTTTTTAAATTTTGGTCGCCCTGTGTGTCTTACAAGAACGGTCGTTTAGGGTTTTACCCCTTCTGTGCATTATGAGGAAAATTGTATTCAGGAAAGTTTCTTTGTAAGTATTTTGTCTTGAAAGGTAAATTAATCCACAAATATATATTTTTTTTCACCAACTCATCATCAGGCCGGTACAACTGCAGGAGTAATGAAAATTGTACACTTGCATGGGGTTAATAAAGGGTCTTTTGATTGCAGCTCATCGTTTTCGAGCCGCCCGCATGGCGAGGTTGGCGTGTAGAGGTCCTTCGCTGGGGGAGGGAAGGAAATTAGTATAGTTTGTGAACGGTGATCATGGATCAGGTAAGTGGGGTGATTGTACTGTAAATTGCACGGAGGTAACGATTGCCACTAGGGGGTGGGGGCGAGATGCGATGGTCACCTGGCTTTGGCGTCAGCTACGGAAG